GTGTGTGTATGTGGTAAGTTTTTGTTAGTATATATATATATATATATATTAATGTATATGATGTGTGCATGTGTGTGTTGGTGTATGTATATATATATATATATATGTGTGTGTGTGTGTACATGCGTGTCTGTGTGTGTGTGTGTGTGTCTATATGTATGTATGAACATATATGTATGTATATATATATGTGTGTGTGCGTATGTTAAGTATATGTTTATATATATATATATGTATGTATGTATGTATGTATGTGCGTGTGTGTTGTATGCATATGTACGTATGCGGGTATGAATGTATATATTTATTTATATATATATGTGTGTGTGTGTCTAAAACCCTAAAAACCCTGTGTGTATACTTATGCATAGATATATGTGTTTATTTATGTATACCTATATATGTATATAGCTGTGTGTGTGTGTGTGTGTGTCTACTTAAACATTTCGTATTTGCTTGTCTATATATACATTTAGATTTTTGTATATATATTTATATATTTAGGTATGTATTTATATAGTTTTGTGTGTATATGCATGTATATGCATGTACATATATATGCATGAATTTACACATATACCTGTACATATAAATATTCATACGTATATATATACCAAATTTTGTATATATGTGTGTATATATACCAAATTTTGTATATATGTGTGTATATATACGTACATACATAAAAAGTATAAATATATATATATATATATATTGATGTATATATATATATATATATATATATATAGTGCATAGTATATAGATGCAAATCTAAATCGACCTATGCCAGTTGGAATAATGCAAGCTATGGATGTAGTGTGTATGAATGCTTCTCTGTATGTGAGTTTTGGGATATATTTTTTTGTACATTGAATACGTAAATAGCGAAAGTCGGTGTAGTGAATATCTATGCTTTTTTCTCTGCGCATGTATGTCCTAATTAAATGAGAGCTATGGTGTTTTCATGACTGTACCTTGTAGGTACCGGCGCTGGGGGATTTGGTGGAGGAGTTGGGAACGACATGTACGGCAATGTAAACGGAGGCATGTACGGCCAAAACCACAACGGGGGCGGGTTTGGTACTAGCGGAGGCATGGGTGGCAATTTCGGCCAACCCCCGAATCCAGCCCAGGCACAGAGACCGTCGTCGCTTTCCCCGGCACATATGCAACCACCCCATTTCCAGCCACTACCCCAACAGATACGCCCACACACTCAGCAGCAGCAAGCACACGCGCCGGCAGGATCTGAGTCGCTCAATGGCCCTGGGTTTGAACAAATGGCATCGCTTGTCCACAACCCTATGTTTAGCTCTATGGCGGCCAATGTTACCGATTGGGACGCGAAAAAGGCTGATGTATGTAGATGTGCACGGGTTGTTAATAGGAGCAAGCTTTCGTGCTGTGTATATCTTGCTCTAAGTGTGCGTCTGTGTGTACCACATATTCCATGGACTTTTAGCGGAACCCTGCGTTACCCCTTGAATTTCATTAATTTACTTATTCTCAAATTTATGCTGCCAGGTTGAAAGGAACGTAACTAAGCTGCGGTTCTACTTTCAAGTCAGTAATGCGTACGTCTTGAACAAAATGAAGCTTATCGTATTTCCCTGGTTGCACAAAGTAAGTGCTATATTTATTAGCTATGGTTTGCTTGCTTGCATCAAAATATCTCTGGGGGATAGCTGTGCTCCAACCCATCACCCACTCAAGGCAACCGCCCTGTCAGAAGCTTTCCATCGTATTATATGAAGTATGCTTGTTTCTCATTTGGCAATAGTACATACGGATACTATCTCTTTTCAGATATATTCAGCTGTGATGTGGTCGCTGTTTTGCTATCCATGCAACCACCACTTGTTGAACATTATAACTCCTATGACACTGTGTTTCCTAATCAATTCTCCGCTGGCACGACTTGTATAGGACTGGTCAAGGCGGCTGTCGCATGAAGGCCAGTTCCTGAACCCAAGGGATGATATCAATGCACCGGATCTATACATACCAGGTGAAAGCGTGGGTCTCGCAACCCCATTGTTCTCTAGCGATTAGGCATATCAATGCAGCATCTGTGCATGCAATTGTTCCTGTAGTGATACGCTGTTCGGCATGAGTTGGTTTCAGGATTTTGTATGTCACTTGAATGGATCGTAAAAATTTATGTGTATGCGCACGTAAATATGAATCTACGAGTAAGATTTCAACATCCTTCGTCTATTGCTTCACTTTGTTCTAGGGTTTTGAGTCATGCTGTACTCGAACTCGCTTTCAGTGTATAAGTTCGTTTTATCTCATATCATGGTGTTTGTTTTGTATATCGCGAGGTGAACTTGCGACACCCAATTGGCACGCGTACAGTTGCAATCAATTTCTGAGCTCGTAGGTCTATATACATGTTGATGCAAATGTGCTAGTGTACTTGTGTATTTCATTATATGTCAAGTAATTATTTGTGTACGTATCAGTATATAGCTCAAGCTGTGAGAACTTCCACAACAACCTTGTTCAATGCGCTGATATGTTTTACGACATATCACTCACTTTGCTGTGCGTGAGCGCACTCAGTCCGCTCAAACGATGCCATCTGCTAAATAATTCATCGCTTCTTCTCACCTCGCACGGCTAGCGATGTCGTACGTCACATTTGTCGTACTCACGGGGATCTACTACGGACATCAGGGAACGTAAGTGTTGCACGGGTTGCAACTCATTTGCTCTCGTTCTATACAAAACTCGGGTGCTACAGTCTCGTCCACTTTGATAAAAATGTATCGATGACCCGTTGCTATTGTAATATTTACACAATTCAAGCGTTTTAAGATGATTTACGATGATCTTTTCCCTGTAAGTGACAACGTGCGCTGCTCCAACCGACTGGGCCAACTCGTGCTTATCAGAACCTTACTTCGACTTGCAGATTTGAACCCGAAAAATTGGGAATTGTGGCTAGTTCGATGCTGGTGTGGCTCATACTCGAAGTTCTTGTGGTCTTTGGTGGTTTCTACCTTCTCAGCGTAACAGCAAACTACAGCTGGTTAGATATTGTATCTTACTGCGGATACAAATACACAGCGTATGTTCTGGCTCATGATGCGTCGATTGGTTACAATTCGATGTGTATCACCCTTACGTGCGATTATATCATTTTATTAAAGTATATATATATATCTATCTATCTATATCTATATCTATATATATTTATATATATATATATTTATATTTATGTATATATATATATTTGTTCCTGTGTGCATGTGTGCATGTGTGTGTGTCTGTATAAATATATACATATATTATATCATGTGCGTGTGCGTGGGTGTGCACATGTATATGTATGTATATATATATGTGTGTGTGTATTCATATACATATACATACCAATGATACAATTATATATATATGTTCATACACTTATTCTTAAATATGTATATATATATATATGTGTGAAATGTACGTATGTATGTATGTATTTATATGTATGTGTACGTATATATATATATATATGTGTGTGTGTGTGTGTGTGTGCGTAAATGTACGTTTGTATGTATGGATTCATATGTATATGTGTATGTATGTATATATATAAATGTATGTGTGTGCAATTGTGTGTGTACATGAGTATACATATATATATATATATATATATCTGTGCTTATGTATGTATGAGCATCTATTTTTATATCTGTATATATGTCTGTGTATGTGTATGCGTATTTTGCGTGTGTGTGTGTGTATAGTACTATTTTTATGTAGATGTAGATGTACGCATATTGACCATGCGGCACCCTGCCATTCTCTTTCTGTTAGTTTCTCAACACAGCATTAAAAAAACATATATTCACACCGTGGGATCACATTTTATATCATCAGCTTTACCTCGTGATAATAATGTATCCTTTTTCACAATTGCAGCATGATCATGGCTCTGGCGGCGTTTATGGTCGGCGGTATTACCCCCTACTACTGCGTCATGGGTTATGCAGGGTTAGCTGTGGTTGTATTTTGGGTAAGTCAACTTTTTCTCATATAATGGTGTCGCGTTCGTGACACATGTAATACTCGAGCCATGCAATAAGCGTGCGAACGGTCTGCAAACTTTGGTGAAGGTTAGCTTCACTGCGGCTAAGACTCTAGTGGCATGCAAGATCTATCTGTGGATATGTATGGTTGTGCGAGTGTGGTGCGTGCGTGTATGAAAAGTTATGTGTCTGATAACATATTCATTTCAGTCTCAAATGTAATATTTGCTATGCTATGCGTGTATGATCTCTTTGTTGCTTCTAGCCTATAGTTCTAGTGTCCTTCTAACCGTTGAAATTATTAATGTTTAAAATCGCTTGCTCATTTTATTACAGCTCCGAACGCTACGTCACGTGCTTAACCCAGCCGTTCCTGATTCTATGCACACGCACACCAACGCCAAAGCGAGTAATACCTTTGTACTGGTGATATCTGCGCTGCAAGGTGCTATGATATATTTTTTGACCAATTTATAAGCTATCGCGGCACATAACTTCAAATATTAGAACATATGATATGTTGTATTTTTTCAAAAAGGCTATAATTAGAAATGTATCTGAGTTTGCTGGTAGTCTGATGCAGTTGTATATGCCCATAAGTGAGTTCAGTGTTGTTCAGTGTTCACTGCTGTCGGCCGGGGACTTTAAAATATGGAGAATCGCCAGAAACTGGAAAGATGATGCCGAATTGCCGATAGCAGACCTTCTGAAAATAAATATTAATGTGTGAAGGGGATATTTAAATTTGGCCAGTTCCTAGTTGTGTGAATACCGGTAAAGTTAACCACTTGAAACTGAGTTGAACCAATCCCAACTCTTAATTTGAAGTTTTGAGGTTGGACCCGCAGCGGTTTTTCTCTTGTGATATGTACTCAGCAGCAGAAAAACTTTGTTTTTGTTTTTTAAACAAATTTCTCGAATCTCACTTTGAATCGAGTCACAGTGTGTCATTGTTTTTGGCCCTCAAATTTCTAAATAAAAACATACAATTTGTATCCCCTACTGAATAAAAGACTTTGTAAATATCCAAGACAGTATTAAACATAAACACAGTACAAGACTACATACAGTAAAATAATCCAAATTAAATACCAAAAACAAACTAATGACGGTCCCGTCACTCCCTCAGGCACGACCACCCAGAGAGCAAAATTTTAACTTTGTGTAGTAAATGTACTCTGTATTTTATTAAAATAGTTTTTAATTTTGGGCCGATCACTGTGATCAAATTTCAGATCATCAGACAGTGAACAGGCTGAAAAGTTACGTATGTACGGTTATTTAAATCGCAATATGGACCACTCCCTGCAATTCTCTGGTGTTTATACTCTATATAGGTAGTCGTCTCCGCACAATATATTTCTTTTATATAGGGAATGTTTGTGGATTACGTGTGATACTCCAGTTGACTAGTCTTGTAACTGTGAGAAAGAGTTGATCAATATTCTTGTTGTAGTATACTGGGAAGACAGGCCATATACGACACGCAGTATATGTATATGGTAGCAGTACCTCACGACGAAGCACTTCCTACTCAATCAGAAGCGCTAACTAAGCACCCCGGACACACGGAAGAGTATACATTAATCCCCGCATAGGAGTATATATATATTTATCGACTATACCTTCGGAGTGGTCCGCTGCCCGTCATCTATGAGCTAGCCCATGTGCGACGCCTATTTGGCGTGTCGACGTATTGTTCTCACGTCCAAATTTAAGTTACACCCACGTTTGCGACTGATTATATACACGTCAAGGTTATTAGCCCTTCATACATGCATAGGTTTTTATAGCATATAGCAGTGCTACGGTACCTCGTGTTCAGTTCTCATATGGCTGAATTCCTGGTTGAGGACATACACGTAAACGTGCTGGTACTTCGCAGGATATGGTGTAGGAGATAGATACATCAGACAGGTTTCTGTGTGCAATAAATACATAGTAGCTGACAATAAGAACAGTGCTCATTTGCATAACACACATAAGACAACAGTACACATAGACACAGACGTGACAATAATGGACTGTGAAGGCCCTTTGCCAGTCGGCCAAGAAGTGAGTGCGAAGTTTCGCGGCGCTTTCTGTGAAGCCGTGGTGCGCTCATCGAGCAATGAAGTGCAAGTGCACGTGAACTTTACCGACAAGTCGGTGTCATCGCGGGTGGTTCCATTGAAAGAACTCAGAGGCAATGTAGTGTTGGGCGGACTGGTACAAGGCCCTACTGGTTCAGCCAGAGGACAGTTCGATGACTGTGTGATCACGCGCATTGTAGATAAAAGCGTGTATGAGGTTGAGTTTGACGACGGCGATTTGAAGAACTTGAAACGGTATGTGTGTACTTTGTTGTTGTAGATTTTTTCCGTACATGCCGTCTCGTTGCACGAATGTGTGCAGAAAGGGACGCTTTCTGCGAGTGCGACTGTGTGTTCACTTGATTGTATTATATTTAATATATACATAGTTTTTTTACATAATTTGCTGAATAAATGTGACATTGTATCATTTGTGTATATTGGGATACTTTTGTCATTTATATTTTTTATAATTGTGGTTCTGTCTGTGTTCATTTTTGCACATATTTTGCGCAAGTGAAAGATTGAACACACCACAGTTATTTTCATGTCGTTTAGCGATTTTATATGCAAATAGATGTATTCCTATTCTTGTGTGTGTGTACATATGTACTTATGTTGTATGTATGTATGTATGGCACCGTCTATATATTAATATATATCTGTATATCTATGTAGGTATGTATATATATATATATATGGTGTGTTCAATTGTATGTACCTATGTACTCATGTAAGGATACTTATGTTTATACATGATATGGATCAATGTCTAGATTGAGCTATTTTTGAGTTCCTGCCTCCATTTGTGCTTATTTTTTTGAGATTTGATGCTCTGATGGCAATACCTATATGCTAGATACTGGGTGTTTTACGTTGCTGGTTACTTATGCTTTCGAGGTCTATGTTACCACTTAAATATGTACTCTCATGACGTATATTTCGATGTGCATATATACATTCGCCTGTATCTCCCTGTTTTAGGGTTTAGTGAATGTGTATATATATGTGTGTGTTTGTGTGCATATATATATATATATATATAGACGAGGGACCACCCATGGACATGGACATAGACATAGACATATACTTAATTTATATATGTATATATATATTATCGTCATATACATGTATGTGATTCTATGTATATGCATATGTGTGTTTGGGTTTTTGTGTGTTTTTATGCATGTATGTGTATATTAAGTGTGCTTGTGTGTATGTGCACGTCTGTTTGTCTGCAATTAAAGTATAAGTTTATATGTACATATATCAATAAGAGAAGTATGTAGATTCTGCTGGTGCGTATTCATATATAATCCGTGTTTGTTCTTTTGTAACTTTGTGTGCTTAACAATTCATATGACCGTTTGTATATGCCAATGCATGCTTATATCTCTATGTATGTATCAGTATACATATCTGTGATTTTGTATCGATTTTGTGTGTACACAAATGTATATATATATTTTATTCGAATATACATATCTGAGTGGATGATTTTGTACATATATTTTGTATACGTTTGCGTTTGTGTTATATATATACGTATGTATGTATATATATATATATATATATATATATATATATATACGTATGTATATATATATTTGTTTTTGTTTTGCAACCCTCCAAATAAAAGCATGTGTATACATATACACGCATGAATATATTTATATATATATATATGTATGTATGTATGTATGTATATCTGTGAGTGTATGTGTATGTATATATCTATTTTATGTGTGTGTGTTTGTGTGTGTGTATATTGTATATGCGTGGGAGTGTGTGTATTAATTTGTATATATTTTGTGTATTTTTTCTTTCGTCCGCATACATTCGTGGGTTGTTGTTGTTTTGCTCATGCTTATGTTGACATTGGCATATATAGACTAGTAAAAGGGCACATATATACACTGGTACGTTTTTGGGTATATACTCGTGCGTGTTCGCTCGTACCTTTCTGTATTTAGTGTATAAACACGCCCCTGCTTAGAGTAGTGCTTAGTGTATCATTCCATTACATTTGCGGTAGTTTATATTTATATATCTTTTGATTTGAGTTTTGTTTATGATACATACTTCCTCATACATATCACAATCTGGAACTCGGAGGCAACTTCGCAGGTGTGTGTTACGATGTGAAACCATATTCTGTCTGCGATTATTAAGGTTTTGTGGTTCAATCAGTCCATAGCCTTGCGGTTCTCATTTCTAAATTCTATGCATGTATTGTCTTGTAACTATCAATCTCCGCCAATCTCCTTACACAGAAATAATATCAGGCCTAAAGGACGTGCCTATTTCACGAACGACACAACTATAGAAAGTTTGCCTCTGATGGATCCGGAGAAGTTCGCTGCACTGCCCACGCGTGCATCAAGGTAAGCATCCCGTTGCCATAAGTACAAATTGAGCTTGCGACCCGGAGCTGTTGAGCGCTGTTGGCTTTGTCTATCTGGGGTGAAATGGTATCCTTATACGACGTGGAATTGATAGCATAGTCACTGAAATACGCATCATTGAGCATCAAGTATACATGAGGTTCATGACGCGGCTGTCTTCGTTTACTCAATTTTCTCGTTTGCATTGCTTGTTTGTTAGGCGAAAGGTGCCCAGCAGTCCAATGTATCCTGGTTTTTACGATGAGGGCAGTCTCACACCAAAATCACCAGCAAGGATGGCACGGAGAGATAGGCACGCTATTAACAGGTAATGTGCAACGTGACAGTCGAATGCTTACCTTTGTCTCTCTCGCATATTCATTTTGCAGGCAATTCGGTTGTTGGCTTAGTAGCGTGCGGTACTTCGCAATTTTTTTCCGCGTCCATTGTCCACTTTCCTGTATGAGTATACGATGGCCATTTCGACTACGATGTACCGTCAATAGTACGATTCGAATTTGTTAACATCGTTTCTCATACCTACACCACAGAGCAAGTGAGCGCAGCGCCAGTACCGTTTCCTCGTCGACAAGACAACGCTCGCGCACTGTCAGTGCGAGTGGGGTCTCATCCGATACGAAGTCAAAGGGGCGACCACGCATCAGTATGACCGCGCCTAACTCGCTGAGTAATCTGAGAGCCAATGGCCTCAAGGATGGTGAGGGCTTGGCTGTGTCACGTACAGTCTCCATCGCTAATGTCGTAAGTGATGCGTTCAAGTTACGTACCACACGGCTGGCGGGTATGGCAGTGTTTGTGGAGCCGTTGAGCAACCACTCGGCACCGTACTGGTACACCGCTTTGGTTGTACCGTTTGCCTGCGTAGACCCGGTGTCGATGGGTGTGGAAAGTTTAAGTAGCGGCAATTGTGTGGTCCGATACTTCAGAGATGGAGTGTACGGTGCGGTACCTGAGGCGTGTTTGCGGAGGTTCAGCACAGAGATACCCCTCTTTCGCCTCTTCTGCAAGCAGTCACGTGGCTTTCAGAATGAGCCCGAGATTGTTGCGGCCATCGACTTCCTGGAAACAAATAAATTGGATGTCTCTCTGCGCTGGCCCAATTTTGTGCCGCTGAAGAAACGACAGGCCGACTACCACTCGGATTCAGAAGAGAGTGAGGGCAGGCACTCCCACGAGGATGAGAGCGAAGCCGTCGACAGCGATGGTGATCATCTGCAGGCCAAGCGCGGGCGCAAGGCGAAGGGCAGGAAGCGGCGCACAGAGTCTACGAGTGGTACATGGTCGAAGAAACAGTGCTTGGACACCCGCGACACGCTCGTGGAAGGAGCAGACACAGAGAATATGGATGGAGAAGATGAGGATGAGTACACCGTGAATAGGGAGAAGACTAAGCCGCGCGTACGTCGACGGAAAGTGCCCAGGCGCGTGAGTGTGAGTGCAAGTGCGGTGGATGTGGATGGTCGAGACGGGGAGAAGCGTGCGAAGAAGGGCTGCAAATACCGCGGGGCATCGGAACGGCCCGTTACGCCTACGCCGTTGGAGATGGAGGCCTTGTACACGAACCAATGGAAGTTTAAGAAGAATGCGCACGTGTGGGCGATGTCTTATGTGGATGGACGGGTATATGAGGCTAAGGTTACGGATAGAAAGCTGATGTCCAATGCCAGAGATAGGAGGAGGCAACAGAGAGCTCAGGCAAGCAACAGCTACAGGAATCAACCCACTCCCCACTACAAAATCCACTACATCATGTGGTCAACTGACAGGTGGGTATGGCTCGCATTTGGAGCCCAAAGATTGCGCAATTATTTATACCCCTTTGACCTGACGTGTTTGAACAAGTTTGAACGTTCTCGATTAGCCGGTCTTTGATTTTTTTTTAACTTTAATGTGTAGTATGATAGTTTGTTAACGCCATTGTTTATCCTGGTCAGGCTTATCTGTATTTATTTACATATATATATATATATATATATATAAGCGGTTCCCGGATGTCCAGGTCAGCTACATCATAGCTCATTCGGCTATTTCTCTTTTGCTGTACATACTCGCTTTCTAGATATGACGAATGGATCCAGGAAGAACATGTATTTGACACCAATCCCGATGCAAGACCCGCGGTGCGAGCCCGTAAGCAAGATAGCCAGGTGCGTGCGGCTTCTGTGAGCAGTGCCACGAGTGAAGAGTCTGCAAAAGACACGAGTACAGTAGACAACCCCCCAGCACTGTCAAAGAGCGTCAGCAGTGACAGTGTTGATCATGATGTGGATCGCAAAAGTGAGTCAGGGGATTCAGAGAATGTGATTTCGGGGGCTAAGGAGGAGAAGAGCGTGGGTGTGCGTGTGTGTCTGGAGGATGTTACCAGCGATGCAGAGAGTACTATTCACGAGGAGGATACAATCAGGCGTCCTGGACAGGATGCAGGCATGGGAACGGGCGAGAAGGGAGCCAGCGTTGCGGGTAGCAAATTTGACCGGAATAGTAGCGAGAAGCGGGCTAGTACCGAGGGAGTCAGAAAGGCTAAAAATACAGAGCGGGATCCGAATACTAGTCAAAAGGTCTCTGCGAATGTGAAGGTGGAAGGGACCCAGGGACAGTTAGATGTTCCAAGCGAAGCTTGTGAAAGTCTTAGCGATAAGGAGCAGATGGGACACATTGCCACTGAAAATAATATCGGAGACACACAAGATGCTGCAAGTAAAGGGCTAGGCGAGGTATCAATGGATGAGGTACGTGCTCCATGGTATTTGTAGTATGTTTCGAGGTGGTGACCGCTCAACCATAATTCAATACTTTACTCATCTATTGAACTGACTTCATTAATAGATGTTACACACACACATGTAGTACACATCTTAGTTAATTGATTATATGTATGGTGCAAAGTGTGCTTGACGGTATGCTATTCGATGTGTCGTGTACTCATGATAATTTGCTGGGACACATCAACAATCGCACTTGTATCGCTACAATATCGCTACAGAAGTACCGAACACCATGCTAAGTGTGTAACCCTATCCTATGTATATTCGACAGGACACACTCCCTGTCAGGACGCCGTCAAAGCGTAGGAAACGGAAATACGCGGAAGGAACGCCGAAAGCTCAGGTACTTTCAAATTTAGTTTCCCTTTTTATAGATTTTTCATCCTATATGGCAGGAGAATTTTATATCACTATACCCAGTGTGTCCGGTTTGTTTTATTCAAAATGAATTACTAAACTTTCACCTTTTTATGCGGTTTAATCATGTAACACATATACAAAGTAGATGCTTATCCTGATACTGTTACTGTCACCCTTCTCTTCATAGGGTAAGGAATCATCTGCTCAAGAAGTAATCCCGAAAGGTAGCAACGGTGTCGAACTCGCTATCAACACTGACACTGAGACAGCAGGCGCGCAAACCTCCGCTTCTAGCTATACCACTAATCCATTAGTACATGAAGACACGAATGATAAATATATATCTCCAGAAATGGATGACATGACTCGCTCGGTGATTCGGCGACCTCGTGGCCGGAAAGGCCGTAAAAGAGGTCCCCGCAAGACTTATGTTGCTGTGGAGCTGACCAGCCCGGATTCTGCACGTCTGTTGGGCGAGCTAGTGTCAACCATCGATACGCAAAATTCTGAGGCGGACGATGTCCAAGATATAGTACTCGGTGAAACGCGCAAGCGTGCACGTTTTTCTCCTGTAGGAGATGATACTGCTGCGAATGCAAGCGAAAAGGAGCTCTCCGAGGGCGTTTGCTTGAGCGAGGTGCGGGGGGCTGATGACTATTCCGACATCCCTGTCTGCGGAAATAGCGATCCTGAGGTGATAAGAGAGGATGCGGTTAGGAATCCAGACGCGAACAATCTTAGTGCTGTTGAGAATGCTCTTGAATCCCCATTTGAGGCGGAATCGTTGGATTCGAAAAATAGTGCTGTTGAGAATGCTCTTGAATCCCCATTTGAGGCGGAATCGTTGAATTCGAAAAATAGTGCTGAGCTGGATATGGCTAAGAGCCCCTCTAGAGATGTTCCACTTGAGTTGGACATTGGTCAAAGAATTGGGAAGTCCAAGAGTATCACTTCCCCAGTTACATCCAAAGTCGAGCCAGTAGATGCGCAACTAGGTGTGGCAGACAACTCGAGCACTCATTCAGAAGGTGATGCCGAGGGGATGATTGATGTGAAAGCAGGCGCAAATTCCACGCTTGCGAAAGTTGTGAGGACCGATTCGAATGTGCCAGCGCTTGGGACAAAGTCGAAAACAGACTGGAATTTCTCGCTACAAATTGGTTCGAAACAAGACACGGATGATGTAGCTGCAACTGCGAATGATGTAGCTGCAGCTACGGATGATGTAAATGCAGCTGTGGATGATGTAACTGCAGCTACTGACGATGTAATTGCAGCTACGGATGATGTAACTGCACCTACGGATGATGTAGCTGCACCTACGGATGATGTAACTACACCTACGGATGATGTAACTGCAGCTGCGGATGATGTAAATGCAGCTGTGGATGATGTAACTGCACCTACGGACGATGTAATTGCAGCTACGGATGATGCAACTGCACCTACGGATGATGCAACTGCAGCTACGGATGATGTAACTGCACCTACGGATGATGTAGCTGCAGCTACGGATGATGTAACTACACCTACGGATGATGTAACTGCAGCTGCGGATGATGTAACTGCACCTACGGATAATTTAGCTGCAACTACGGATGGTATAGCTGCAGCTGCGGATGATGTATCTAGAGCTACGGATGATGTATCTATAGCTACGGAGGATGTATCTACAGCTACGGATGATGTATCTACAGCTACGGATGATGTAACTTCAACTACAGATGATGTAGCTGAAGCTACGGCTGATGTAACTACAACGACAGATGATGTAGCTGAAGCTACGGTTGATGTAACTACAACTACAGATGATGTAGCTGAAGTTACGGTTGATGTACCTGCAGCTACAGATGATCTATCTGCAGCTACGGTTGATCTACCTGCAGCTACCGATGATGTAGCTGCAGCTACGGTTGATGGCCAACAGTACACTAATGACGATGCGACGCAGGAATCGGTGGGCTTGGTTAGTGACGACCAACGGGACAATCCGACTGCGCGTGAGGCCGATGTAGCTGTCGGAGTTAGTGTGCAGAAGAGCAAGGCCACCGCCTCAAATCAAGCTCGTGCCGAGGACTCTGAAAGCGAGCACGGGAGCGATACAAAGAATAACATTGGAAGGCAGGGTGAGACTTGCGATGGAAATGTAAGGAGATCGCGCAAAACTGAGAGTGCGCCAGATGGTGAACAGTGTGCAGATGGTGGCGAAGGGAGGGGGGAAGGCAGGGAGGCTGACGAACAGAAGGGAGCCTCGGGCTCATCCTATACAGTATATACTTCCACAACAACACACAAGCAGGAAATGGGCGACGGCATGACGCTTACAAAGGAGGAGTTCAAGGTATGTGTCGCCGACAAAAAATGTGTCTACGCAGGAAGTACTGTTAATTTGAAGTGCAATATAACGGTTCTTTTTTGCTTCTGCTTCATAGTGTAGTTCGCAATGCGCGCCTCTTGCAGTATATCGCATTTCCGACTGACACTATTCGCAAGTTTGTGTTTGACCTATGTAGTCGTTAGTCCTGCTGGTTGCTACACGCGAGAGCTGCACTCTATACGATTTGCAATACAGCTGACTTCTCTCCATTCAACGCTTCAGGTCCGTCATACGTTGGATACTGGCGGCATCACAATTTCGAACCAGCAGATACATGAGGTCAAGCATACCGTAGAGAAAAGCACCATCCATCCAAACCGTAAGTGTCGACGTAGCGTTACTCTCGTTCAATTGAAAATGAAACACCAGGTTGTCTTTCACTATTACACTTGTTACTGGGCGACTGTTCGTTGTGCGGTGCGCGATACTGGAGTTTTTCCGACTTCTGCCTAGAATTCGCCATTGGATCGATGAGATCACTTTTTCAATTGCTACATGTACAGTATACCCATTTATTTTTTTAATTTGAGTGCATATTCTAATTCACATGTAGTCCAATGGACAGCTGATGGTGGACTGGAGATGTCGACTTTAGAAGAGCGAATGAGGCAGTTGAAACAGCAGTACCTGGCTCACAAGGCTGAACTTGCTAGAAGAGAGCGTATGAGGCGTATGAAGAAAGAAAACACATTGAATGCTAACGGGCAGGGGACCCCAACCGAGGCTTCCAATGGACTCCCGGATAGTAATAGCGAGGAACAAAACGACAATGTCAGTGGACCCGCGCATCCCAAAGTGGAGAACATCTCGTCCGACAAAGCGCACAGCATAGGTACAAGGTGATCTGACAGTGTGGAATATTGGATGATTTTGGACATAGTACGCGGACTGACTAGGCGGATAAGATGCCGGAACTGTCCGCAATAAGCATACTCTTTACCAGTGAGAGTGAGGGCAGAACGAAAAGAATTTGTATATATGAGAGACCGTCTTTATGGAAGGAGTCTACGAAGTGGAGTTATCAGTCAGTGTCCTTCAACGGCATGCTGCACATTTCAGTTGATTGCTGCTATGTGAAATATAAAAACCTGTAAGCGAGAGCAGCCTGAGATTATTGCATTATGGAATCTGCCACGAAGAGGAAGTGTGAATTAAGATTGATAAGTATAAATGAAATATGAAATCATTGGTGAAGCTAAGTGTCATGTCAACACCGATAGCCCGATGTAAATGAATACAAATAAAAGATAATACATCCGCAGAATTTCTCGCTTATACTACAGTGCAAACAATGTAGTGTCTATTATACAAGCACAATTGTCTCTTTCCGAAAATATGCACTAGTGGGGTATGCCGTATCTGTTTTATTTCTCTAGTAATATCGTTTGGTAGATATGTTCCGATATGATACCACTCCATATTTAGCTTCAAGGAACGAAGGTATCTAAAATTTTGCACTATTATTTTATGTAAACGTCGCTGATAAATTGTTTAAGATAAATCGCAATGCAGTGGTTGAGATATGAAAACGATCAAATTGTGTCATATAGATCATATTCATTGAAATAAACGCGTCGACAAAATGAACAAATAGCAGTAAATTCCTTATATACCAACTAAACAATGAGCGTAGTATATAATCTCTATATCACCTCGAATCCTTCGGACTATACAAATCTAAACTACCGATCACACTCTCGTATCCGTTGATGGAAGTACATATGTGTATGCAAAGATTCGGTCGCTCACTAGTCCTTACTGGAGCCCAATCACTCGAGAAGAAGAAAAACTTCCAAAATTGCAACGGATCCGATAGTCGAGGATCCTTGGCCTAAATCGTGTTTGTTTTCAAACAGAATCACCAATTGATTGTCTGGCTGGAAAACTCTTGCGAGTACAAACTCGTACGGGCACACTTCTATCATTGCTTGCATCGAGAATAAACTGGCTGCAAATTCAGCTCGCGTATGATAGATCCCTGTACGAAAAGTACACAAGATATCGAACACCGAAGTTCGACAACAAAGGAACCTTGAAGAGTAAACAATGCTTTTTCATTTTGTTCTGTAGTACTTCCAGAGGATTATTTGAATCAATGATACGGCACACTCTTCAATTTTAGCAAACCCGAACATAAAACATGCACTGTGATCGTTTTATGCCTATTAAGGGTGTAATCAAGTTGCGCAAGCTCAACACGATCTATAGACTACAACTTTGTCAAGCATGACTCATCGTCAACTTAGTCTGTAGAAACTCAACTAGGGTTTTCTTACACTCGCCTCATTACCTTATCTCTCACACACCCTTGTTTACGCACAAAAAGGAACGTTGCACAAATACACACTTTTAGTATATGTTTAGTATACAAACATAAATAAAGATCAATTCTTCAGAGTACAAAGATACAGGCTCTGTTTGGTTATGGGCTCTATATTTAAAGTCTCTTTTTAATTTTGTGAATAAACAGAAGATTCAGCCTCCGGCTATACCCGCATCAAATGGGCCCGCCCTTCTCTTACCTCGTGCCAATCGAAATCTCCTACTCAGATCCTTCTCCGACGTTCTCCTCAGAACGCTCAGCAAAAAAACCATGATGTACAACCACTGAACTTTTTACGACATTATCCGTCAAACCTACTTTCATGAATCTATCTGCCCTTCTCAGCCGATCAACATGACATATCTCCATAATTTCCAAGTTGGACTTGACTTTAGGAAGATTCCCGTGTTTGGGCTCTCGTAAAAAGTTCCGTGACGATGCCGAACTCCAGGGCCTTACGTTTACTACCAACTTCATTAATGACTGCTACCTGACTGATCTATCGCAAGAGAACCAAGAATAAGCTCATCAATACACAACTGGCAAAGAGCTGCGTGCTTCTCTCACACCTATTTGTCTCTGAGACTTACTATATGAGTGGCATAATACGAATCCGGAGCGCCTCACACCTACTCAACGTGCATCACATGCACAAGCTCACCGTATGACAGCAGCCCCAAGCCGTGCCGACCACCGATCTTCTCACTGCCCCCATCGCATCTGGACGCTGTGGCGCCAAAGGCCATACCAATAGCAACCGTAATGCAGGCTTCTTTTGATGCACAACGTACAATTGCATAGGCCATAACTCAGTCTGTTATGGACGCCGTGCTATCAAACACATATTTTATCTTTGTGTAGCACGAATTACAGTTGATCATACACAATCTGTAAATATAGCCAAAATGCTTATTGACGGTGGTGCCACCGTTAAATACCTCAACACCACCGCTAGGTCTCTATTGATGTCTTGAACGTAGATCCTTTTCGCTCATTCTTGCCGGCGACTCTGAGCTAATTATTAAACTACGTGGTATTATACCTGGCCAGGGCCTTACTTAGATACATTCCTTAAGCGACCCCTAGTACCCCAGAACCGTCTTCAGGATCGTAGCTTCGAGCTTAAATACCTCCCTTCACGTCCAGCATGCGAGCTCTCGCAAACTTCCGTATCCATCGAGATTCCGCAGGTTCACGGAGGCTATCATGTCCCATATGATACTCTCCCGACTCTCTCTCCTGCACTTCGAAACGCTTCAAAGTCCGCCACTCTCATCCCGGCCCAGGCACGCTCCTACTACGCAATGAAAGTCACCTGACCCTTCTCAATCCCCCCCCCTGTCGCTGCTACCCAGGTCACGAATACTCCCGCCGTCAGATACCGTCTTTAGCAGTTCCCACTCCACCATCCACTCATGTGACCACTCAAACATACGATGAGTACCACAAGAACAACGGCCACCGCAGCAGAGATACCACTATTCGAATGGCCGCCAAAGATAATGTCTCTTTAGCTCACCCCCCGCCATTCAGCATTATTTGTTAGGCATGGATGGTCAATCGTATTGATTGGAAGAAGGTTATGAACTTTTTCGAATATACACCTTCCAACGAATATGAAGCCTGATATGCATGTAGACATAAAAATATATATACAGATTGAAATTAATAGTATTCTATAAACCCTAAATAACTCTATATTGATGCCTGCGCCACCAGAAACAACGCCCAGGCGCACCGATACGCCGAACCTGAGGGCGGCTTGTCGGCTGCTATTCCAAGGTAGACTGCATCAATGAAACTACCTACTGTAAATTCCATTGGACATCACTAAGTTTCGACTATGATAAAATAAACTGATACATTGTAAGTCAGTTAGGATTTAGTACTGGTAGCTTGTGTATGAATTCTCGATCACACAGGACGGACCTCTAGCTGTTCTTATTGAATAATTTTCACCAGAAGTACTAAGTGTTCATGACCACATGCCTAAGGTGTAGATAGACAAAAGAATGTAAGTCACGTTAATACATTAGCTATTATAAATATAATTCCATTTGAAGAAAAGTTAGACAAAGGAAAAGGACTGATTGGATTTTGGAGAATGACGGGGGACCCAAACCTATAAGTAGTAGTTCAGAAATTATACATTTTAGTTTATGATATCCTACGTCTACTAATATCTTAAAAAGGTCGAAGTAAATGAGTCGTACCAATTACTCAGGGTATAGGAGCCATCAAAGTGAATTAAGAACACTTTAGAAATGTTGGAATAAGAATTTGTAATGAAATATTTAAGTACCAAAAAAAACTTGCCGTTTTAGACTGACCGGAGGCCGTATTTCCACATAGCCCCCAGTAATTTTTAGAACTATGCACGTACTTGTAAATGCAATCTAGTTTGCAAAACGAACCCCAATGTAAAACGGTTACGGTCATGGCTTATCAAGTTAAAGTATGTGCCTATATGCAGTTCAAGGCTCGTGTTTTACTTTATGTCGTTTTGTATTTGACCCAGGAACCATTTCCAATGTAGACGCATTACGTTTATTAGGTAAGGTAATAGCCAAAGTTGTTCTTCATTGGCAATTAAGTTTGAAGAATTGAGTTGGTAAGCAGATCAGAAAGTTTCGTCACATAGGCAGTAGGTGGCAAGTAGGAAATTTCATATCCGTCAGGATTTGTAGTCACCCGAGGAAACCCTTTCCGGTTATCTCGTGTGTTCTTATGTAAACTCTTCTTTCATTTCTTATTTTAAAAGATACGAAGGAAGTCTCAGTATCCACGAAACGCATCGGAGGTTAGCCATGTTGCTGTCTGTCCCATCCATTAAATGGGTCTTGTAGTTAGTGTAACCGCCTTCGGATGTTTTGTCAATTATAACTTTGACTTTATCTCATAACTGGGACTACAGAATCAAATGAGCGAGCGAATGAGAGTTCGGAAGTAGGGATACGGTGAGTGCCTGGATTGGTCGCTTTAGTACGATCTATGTTATTCACTTCGTAGATATCACTCTTCTCATCATGATAGAAAATAGCAAAGGGTCCGATTGTCTTAGAAGAGAGTTCGGTACCGTTGGCGTTGCGAATTATTATGTTAATGTAATCGCCAACTTTGAACTGAACAGATTTCTTAGTGCTATTCCATCGGTCGTATGCTTTAAGCAGGAAGTGGTTCTTGTGCTCGAATAAACAGGGCTAAACAACGCTCGATTTTCAGTAGCCATAACGTGATTCTCGGGCGCGATTTTATCAAACGTTGCTTGTAATTCACTATAGCGGCCAAAGAAATAGTGAAACGATAATATCCCAGTATGAGAATTCATGCAATTATTCATTTGAGTTTGAACCCATTTCGAATGATAAGGCCACATATCCTCAACGTCATCTAGTGCGGTACGCAAGGGTTTCTTACTTTCTCTATGACGTGTTTCATTTACACCCTGCGTTTGAGGTCTATAAGGAACACTACACCTATGGGTCATGTCTGATACAAGTAAAAGTGCCTCCGGTACGTCGGCACAAAACTCACTATCGTTGCTAGGACATAGTACTCGGGGAAAACCAAAGTCATTAAAGACGTGATAGCATAAATCTGCCACCATTTGCAGGCGTTTGTTCGGTATTGCATAAGGCAAGTTATGGCCCGAAGCCACATATAAGAAATGACAGATATATACATCGCTAGTATGCCTAGATCGCGGAAGTCTAACCAAATCGACTGACTCGGCACATTGGCTGGTCCTCTGTTACACTTTTTAGAGATGCCCAACCGTAGCGCTTGATCTGGTTCTTTTCACAATCAGTACAGCGTCAGTATACTTCACGTATAGTTTCTTTCAAAACTGGGTAATCAAGCCCAGCATGAACAGCCAACTTATAAGTATGCTCTTATGCTTGATGGGTTTTATTGTATATGGGTTTAACTTTTCTTTCGAGCTCGTCTAAGTCAGTCAGATTCTGAGTAACGCTGGCTGGATGAACCACCTTCGCATTAGTTAGGGCAACTTCAGTAGCACGAGGGGTAGACTCTTGTGATGCATAATTGACAACACTAAATTGTTAAAGTATCTTCTTCAGTTGTTTCGTCACTCCTGGCTGTTCTCTAAGCAGCGCTTTGAGAAGTTGAGTACGAGCTTCAGGTTCGCTTAGAGCTTAGAGTTTTTGATCCATAGCCCTAGCTAGTTTCATGTTTTTACGATCTAATGCCGTTTCAATCGTCAATACCTCGACTGCACTCTTGCTGGGTGCATGTGTTGTACGAGTATTTAACTTTGTTCGAACTGTTAGACTCCTCTAATTTTGCCAAAAATTCAGTTGAGGGTTTCCACTTGGTAGTACCTGCAGGACCGATGCGACAAAGAAGAGTATGATTTCAAGGTGTATTCGTAATAGAATATGATCTCTGATACAAGAACGTGTCGATTTCACGGTCGACATAGATAGGTTCGTCTCGTGCCATATTAATTAAATCACGTATCCGAGGGTCGGAGCTACGGAAGGGACAACACAGCGTAACGGTAGATTTAGTATTGTTAACATAATTTAAGAAAAAACTGTGTGATAAGTTGCCAAGGTGGGTTAGCCCACGCATTATGCTTTGATGATTCAAGTTGATCAGATGCATCACCTTTAGGATGAGTCAACGACCTATATTCAAAAACCTGTTTATTATGTTCTTCGGCGAACATATCAACAGTAAATGGTCCCCATCGTGATTGAGCGAGTGTAGTTAAACCGTTCCCTATTAAGCATCCAATTGGTTGTGAATAACTCATTGACTGTTTTCTGGTAGTCAGGGACAAGTCGAGAGAGCATGTCAGGTAGATGATTATGTATTCCTGGTATGTATATAAATATATTAACGACTTTTGATCACAGGCGACAGTGAAGTAACTTCCATAAAGGTAGCCTTTAAACTGTTTTACAGCAGTATCTATAGCAAGAAGCTCTTATTTAACGATAGGGCAATTACATTGACTCATATTATAACTTGCTAAAAAATTGTATATAGCGTGGTTTGCCATTTATTGTTAAAGGTTGGTAATTTAAACCATTTGCATTTATTAACAACGTTTCTTCATCTGTATATACATTGAGTCTATCTGCCAGGTCAATCATGTTTGCTTCCGCCCACCAGTTGTTTCAGTATTCATCACCCTCCGGGATGTCTTCGAACTTGCCAGAGGTAATGGACAGTCTTGCTATTTGTACATCCTTCTTGACCTGTTCCTCAGCCTGTTTGGCCTGATTCGAAGCCTTCTTGTGACATCGACTGAACCCATGCGGGGCTGGCATCACCTTACAATAGGGACATGGACGCTCCTCACGCGACCCTTTCTTTTCTTGGGCTTGTCCTGTTGGTTTGGTTTGACTGGGTGCACCTTTGTCCGGTTTATGCCGTTTGATAGTAGCGGTAGTGCTATTCTCAGCGTGTTTGGTTGTCTGCGTGTTTTGACACTTGTTCTGCACCCTCATAGCATTCGGTGTCCTTGCACCTTGGATGCCGTTCTTATGCTTGCCTCAGTCACAGTATGAAACTTAGTGTGTCCTATATCTAACAAGTGCCCCTCACTCCCATCAGGTTGTTTGTCTGCCTTGATGAGAACATTCACCTGTGCTTGTTGTCCGTAGTACATAAGTGCTTGGTATCTTTGGACTTTGAGGAGTTGAAAGTGTATGGGTTCCTTGTCTGAGTTGCGGTACCGCTCCTCTAACATCGCCATTGTCTTATGCGCACGCTCTGTGTGCACTTCGACGTTCAGCTTCTTGTTCTGCATGTCATTGAAAAACCTTTTTAACAGATAGTCTACTATAATGATTCTATTGAATTGCTCAGGTTCCTTGAAGTGCTTAGTTGTATGCGTCTCAGAATCTCTCAAGTTATTGAGTACTGACTTGGTCTTCTCCGTTGCATCAGTGGAATCTAATAGGTTTCTCACTAGTGCTGGGTACTGACACAGTGGCATGGACTTTGCTAGGAAAAGTCACTACATTGCGTAGTGAACTCTATGATGTCTTCACAATTTTCCATTTTAAAGTAACTATCTTTAGGGAGCTTAGGAAATTCTGAAGTTTTTAGTAGTTTTGCGAGAGATGGTTCATCATGAGCTCTAACTCACTAATGTATTGACTTATTTGAATGAGTTCATCCTCATCATCGTCTCCACACTCATTGATATCTAAGTCATATCGTCGTCTGAGTTCCTTGTC